TACGGGGTACCCACCCTCCAGGTAAAGGATCCCTGAATACCATCTCTAACTCTAAACTTAAGTGAAGGACCTTACCTCCTGGGAGCCTAGTGCATACAAGCACCCTCTTCAAATCCCTCGTCTGCACTAGATCCCTCTCTCAACCCCCGTACTAACTTGACTGTCGAAGCCTCTGCCTCGGATTCTCACCTAGGGCCTTTGACATCTACTGTCTTGCAGAACCTCAGACTACCAGGGACTTCACCGCTTAACCGATAGCCCTCAGCTTCTACAGTACTCAGAGACAATTTGCTCGGCCTACAGCTCTCGGCCTCAATACACCTCATCTGAACCCCTCAAAGCCTTCAGCCAGCCTTCAGAAGTCAGGAGTGTTTTTACCTTGTTTCCAAGATGAATAGTGTTTTGCCCTTATTTGATATTATTTTTAAAAAGTTAAACCTATTTTTGAAATTTTATTAAAACTATTATTTTTATTGATATTAAGGCCCAAAAGTTGCCCTTATCAGCTATTTCCCTAAAAGAAATTACTAAGATAAAGCTTATAAGAAATGGTGATGAAATCAGGCTTATGAAATTTCTCCATTACTTCCTAGTTCCAATCATAAGCCTTTACTGATTTTGAGGCTTACCACAAGCAATAGTTAATTCCTATAATTAGCTGCTAATGATTTATCCATGTAACTCAGGTTGACGGCTTTTGTTGAAAGATTTTTTTTTTTTGATATACAGTAAATAATTGATACTAGTAATTAATTTCTACCCAACTAAGGATTAAGGATGTAGGCAGGCTATCCCAAAAGTAGAATTATAATATAATCATAAGCGCAAAATTGATCATAGAGTGGGAATCAGATGACTACATGTCCATAACTAAACCATGTCTAAGCAATTGATTTTAGAGAAATTGCATCATCTATTTTAGAGTTTCTATGAGAATGTTGAATATATTAGGCAACTCTGAGGAGTTAACTTACTCTTTTATGTGCCCGATTAAAAAGTTATAGGATGTGTAATGTGTTTGGTTAAAAAAAAAGTAGGGAAAGGAAGGGACATAATGCGCAGTGCTCTAATTTTATGGGGTAAGCTGTACGACCATCATTGGGTATTGGTAGTGCTGACCTAAATTTAAAAGCTCTCATTCATAAAATCTTCTAATAACAATTTGCTAATGATCCATAGAAAACATTTACGTGGAAATGTGGCTACAGGTAAATAGAGAAAGCCTGGCTTGGAATGAATTTGGATTGTGCTTTTCGGCTTATGGGCTGGGCCTGAGCCTAAGTACGGATCCCATTTGTTGAAATGGCTAGGCCCAGGCCTAGGCCCTATCTTGTTAAGTCCAACAGACCATGTGGTAGCCTGATATTACTTGTTTTTAACGTTTAATGCAGTTGTAACATTGTCTCATAATTGTTTTATGGATTTTTAGAATATGTTTAGTTAGAATTCTGTTCCAAGAAATCATATTTGAAGAATGAATTTTGGGCCAAAAATTAATCTTTGGAGCTCCAAACAACTAATTCTTAGAATAAGGTTTGATCCAAAAAGGAATAAGTTCAGACAATATTATGCACAAAATAATTCTTAGAATCACGAAGAATTAAAAATCATCAGAATTATTTCTCTGAAAGCATGTTAAAAGCTGCCTAACTGGCCATGGGACCTCAAATGAGACTATTCTACTCATTATTCAACGAAAACATATATACATGAAACGCCATAAACAAGGCAGAATAGCTGAAGCTCAAACACAATATATACATCAGTCTCTTTATTTGGTATATAAAAAAAATAAATTGAACCATATTACCATAAGCTTAATTAACTATGCTCGAACTCTTAATTTACAAACTAGAAGCTTCATTATACAAACAAACAAAATAAATTGAACTATATTACCATTATAATCAACATCAAGTTTGTGATCAGTTTATAGTTTTAAGTGCTCAGCTAATTGATGGCTCCCTTCTGCGTGCGGTAGCTTGTTTTCTTCAGAAGATCTCCGAATTTTCGCATCAACGCTTTCTTCTTACGCTGTGAATTTCTATGACTATCCATACTATCAACTTGGGTCTGATCTATATGATCAAAATCATCCGAGTTTGTCATCTCTCCATCATCTATAAATACCACAGAAGTTGTCCTTTCCGTGTCCACATTTACTTTTCTGAACCCATTTGAAATTCTAGGATCCTCAAGATGGAGACTGAGAACTTTGGCTAGTTTCTTATTACCATTTTTATGCTCCTCAACTATTGAGTTCTGTTTCTTAATTACTCCATCCATCTCCTTATCATCTGCTTTCAAGTCATCAATTGGTTTCGTTGAAAGAAACGTCATCTTCAAATCTTTGACATTCTCAGCAGTTGTGGCTTCATTTTTTCTAAGGCGTTCATTTTCTCGCACGAGACTTTGCAAAGCTTCATCCTTGTCAACTATGCTATCCTTGAGCTGAGAATTCTCAGCTCTAGCAATTTCTGCAGCTTCCTTTGCAACGCTAGACTCATTCAGGGCTTGTTTCAGTATATCGCGTAAATTCCCATTTTCTTGCTTTGACATTTTAACCATGTCCTCGGCCACTCTGAGTGACGCTGCCAATCTACCGTTCTCCTGTTTTGCAGTGTTGCACTCTTCTTCGGCCCTTCTTATACAATTAACAAATTCAATTTCCTTTTCACTCCAAGTCAGGGATGATTCCTCAGCTTCTAATTTCAGCCTTTCAACTTTGTCTCTAACTTGGTCAATTTCCTTCTTTGCTTCATCCAAGAGCCTTTCATATTTCTCCTTGGTACTCTTCATCAGCTGCTTCAATTGTTCTGCTTCCCCCCTCGCATTATCTAGTTCCAGTTGGGTTGAGCTGAGTTTCCCCGTCACCTCCTTGGCCTCCGCTGAGACTTCTTTCAGGGCTAATGCTAGATCATCCATGGCTGTTTTGCTCTTTTCTTCTGCCTCTGTAGCTAATTTCAATTCAGTTCTAAGTAGGTTCATCTCCTTGTCTAAACTACGGGCCTTCGATGAAGCAAGTTCTTCCCCCTCTCGGGCACGGAGTAAGCAATCTTTCGCAACTTGAAGCTCAGACTTGAGAGTCTCGATGCTTTCTCCCATGGAATATGCCCTTTTCTGAGCTGTTAAAGCCTCACTGAGCCTCATATTGGCTTCCTTGGAAACTTTCTTCATCTCCACGAGCTCATCGAGAGCTTGATCTTTCTCTTCCTCAGCTGCTTTTAATTTTTCCCGTGTCTTCTTCAATTCTTCCTCGAGTGGACCCAATTGATGTTGCATTTCTGAACCTTTGCCGCTTTTCTATTTGAATTACAGAAGCCAGCAATCAAATAAAGAGGTAAACGAATGAAAAAGGTAAATTCGATCCATTTTTTTGGAAATTCGAGCTATTTTTTGTACATTAAAACATGGAGAAGGGGAATCGTATACCTGGTTTAAATTAAGGAGCTTGGTGGGTTTCCCTTAGAGAGATTCAGGAGACCTTGAATCAATTAACAGATCCGTGCACTTTCAGAAATGCCAGGCCTATAACCCACAAAATATTCACGGAATTCAATACCAAATATGCAGCACTAGAGATACCCGGGCCATGAAGTCCAGAAACTCATTCCACACACGCGGGTCTTCCTTTGTTCAAAGATCAAACTTGACTTGGTTACATCTATATGGAGAGTCCACTGCAGAGGAGAGAGAGAGAGAGAGAGAGGTATTGCCGTAATGGATATCAGTGGTGGTTTTTGGTCGAGAAATGAAACGATTACACTTAGAATAGAATTTATTAATTTTCAGATTCTAACTTTTCGTTAGGTATTGACATCTTCCACCTATACCTGCACTGTTCGAAGTTTGAACCTCGAACATTGACTAAAGCGGTCGTAAGTCGTAACAAAACCACCGTCCCACAGACCTGACGTTTTCAGCCACGCGTATACGTGTGGAGCTATCGAATGGTGGGGCTCGGTACGCTAGATAAATCCTCTCTGGCTGGTTGTAGTGAAGAGATGAATCGATTCCCCAGTATCACCAGTTTTTTAGTTTTATTTTTTAAGGGAAATCAAACCCACCATTAACATTTTAAAACGTTCACGGAATCCCATATCAATAACTTTACATTAAACATAGGGATTTTTTTTTTCAAACTCACCATGAACATAGGGAAAATTCTCGATATAAGGAAAATTATCGATCAGCATCCGCTCGAATGACAATTTCGTTTTCAAACTTTAAAATACGATAATTTAATACTTAAACTTTTAAAATGTGATAATTTAGTACCTGTCGTTAATTAGTATGATACAAATATCTTTCAAGTGTTATTTAATTTTTTCTATTAATCATCTACTAAAATCAGAATTAATTGTCAAATTTTTTATTCTTGTGGCAACACTTTTGTCCTTCTTCTCTTCTGAATATTATGTCATCTTCGGACTAAAATTAAAGCAAATTTTGAGAGAAAAGTTTCCTTTAACTACTATAATTATATTATCCGAAAAACGAAAAAAGAGAAAAATCTTCGGCCACCATCACTGATCTCTCTCTCTCTCTCTCTCTCAAGTATAAAGACAAAGCTTCCAATTCTTCTCCTCTCTTTTACCTTCAAGATTAAAATATTACTGTGTTAAGTTAAAAAAAATAAAAATAAGTTGTATAAAATCTGGATTTTTTCTGCTTTTGGCAAAGTCATTGCAAGTGTTTGTGATAGAGAGCTTAGGCTCTGTTTCAGAGAGCTTGGGCTCTATTGCAAGGGTTTTGGTGTTTGTGACAGAGAGCTTGGGCTTTGTTTTATCTTCTTAAGGAAGATGATGGACAATGTGTTTTATTCCAAGATAATTTTGAAATTTTCGAATGTCTTAAATTGCACATGAAGTCATGTGATATACACAACTGACGGTCCATTAATGACAGGTACTAGATTGTCACGTTTCGAAAGTTCGAGTACTAAATTATTGCATTTTAAAGTTTGGGGACCAAATTGTCACTTGAGCCAAAGTACAGGATACTGATCGGGAACTGTCCCTTAAACATATTAATGTTGTTAATTGATTATGCTTTAGTTTCTTTACTCTCTCCTCATTCATCAAGCATTAGTACCTTTCTCAACTGATGCAGCCTCAGCTTTTGCCCCCAACTTATGTGGCGTTTGATAAATCCGAAATTTCAAATCATAAAAGTTAAAAAGACATTTTTTGTGTTTGAAATTTGAAAAGAAGCATAGGTGCTTTTCTACTTTTTTGAGGTTTTGAATCCATAAGTTTGTTTGTGTTGGATCAACCCTTTACCATATAAAATTTATTGACTTTACTATTCTACCCGTAGAACATACTATTTGGAAATGTTGAGTTAAATTTGCATTATGTCATAAAAAAAATATTTTTCAACCTCAAAATAATATTGAAACAATACAAATAAAAATGATAAATTAATAATTAATAAATGAAATGATTAAAAATAAAAAATAACTAATGACTATAAAAATATTAAAATAATTAATAACTACTAATTAATAATTTACACAAAAAAATTAATGAAATAATTAAAAATTACTAGTTAATAAAAAAATTAATAATTAATAAATAACACAAGTAAAATTAATAAAAAATAATTAATGTTTAATAAAAATATTAAAATAATTAATAATTAATAATAATTATTATTATTTTAATATTATTACTCACCCAGCCGCCGCTGTTGGAAGTTGCAGCGGCGGTGGCGGTGGCGGTGGCAGGAAGACAGGGGAGCGAGAGAGAGAGAGAGAGAGAGAGAGAGAGAGAGAGAGAGAGAGAGAGAGAGAGAGAGAGAGAACCATTGTTGCAAATCCCCATCTTCGGCCTCCCTCTCTTTATCTCTTCCTTCTTGTTTCCTTTGTGTGTTTTTTTTTCTTTCTTCATCTTCTCAGATTCACCAGAATACATTATTCAACATTGTGCACTCACCCCTTCCTCTCGATAGTGGCGGCGAACCAGCTGTAGGTCTCCGTCCGTTCTCTCTCTCTTTTCCTCTCTTTCCTCTTCTTCTTCCTCATGGCATTTTCCTCCTTCTCTTCTCCTGTTTTCATCACCGCCTCTCAAGTGTTGCAGTGGCTACCTATCTTCTCCAGGCTATTTCTCCCTTCCTTTCTCGCTAACATCTCTCTCTAACTCTTTCTTCCTTATCTTCTCCTCCTCCTTCTTCCTTAACAGTTTGCCCTCCCCTATCTCACAGCTGCAATTTCAAGCAATGGCAGTTATCCTCCCATCCCTCTCTTCCACTCTCTCCCTCTTCTGTTTGACCATCAGATCTCTCTCTCCCTTCCACCTCTCTCTTCTCTCTGTTTTCGTTTACCCATTAGATTCCGCTGCATTTGCAGTGCCCCAAAGTAGGTCGCAGACCCCCTGTTCTCCGTCTTCTCTGTCAGCTAGGTAAGCTCGAACAACAATGACCGTCCGTCGGTACTCGTTTCTCAGTTTTAAACTAGAATCCCATCGGAAGGCCGACATCCAACATGGGGCATCCTCTTCTTAATTCAGGTGCTGAGACTCGTACAAGAATCTTCTCACCGGTGGCAAGAAATGGGAAGATAGGGAAAGAGAGAGCCACCGCTGCAAGTTGTAGTGGCAATGGCGAGAAGATAGGAGAGAGAGAGAGAGAGAGAGAGAGAGAGAGAGAGAGAGAGAGAGAGAGAGAGAGAGAGAGAGAGAGAGAGAGAGAGAGAGAGAGAGAGAGAGAGAGAGGTTCTTCTTGGAGCTTGGATTCACGAGTGGCGCTTTTTCCCTGAGAAAACACGAAAATGATTAGGTTTTTTGGGTTTGGGGGTAATCAAGGGTAGCATGCGTCATTTCCAAAAAAATTAGAAGGGTAGCTTCGACTATGCACTGGCTCTAAAACGCGTCTGAGCGCGTTAAGAACCGGCCCACGCTATAAAGTTTTCAGATTTGAAAACAAAATTTAGATCAAGTTTAAGAGGTAAAACTAAACGAGTATGAGATCTGAAAAGCAACATTTTCAGATTCAGACATTTGAAAAGTACAACCAAACGCCCCCTTAGCTCCTCAGGCTTAGTTTGGAAGGAGTACAAATACAGATATGTATAGTACAAATACATTCAAAATAATACAAAATACAAGATTTTATATATCTGTGTTGATACTCCTTCCAAATTGAGCCTAATATGTAGAGTGCAAAAGTTTGTATTTTGCAATATTTTGTATACATTTGTACTATATATTTGCATTTATACTCTTTCCAAAATGAGCCTAATATGTAGGCACAGCCGCCATGTTGCTATGTAATTTCATTGGGGGAAGCGAGAGATGCTTTGCAACCTTCGTGTTTTCTATGGCTAAGACTTCCTACATTTGTTTCCCTTTTACCCATTTAGTAGTTATAGAAGAAGAAGCGATGGTAAAACTGAACTTCCTCCCTTTGTTTCCCCTTTACTCATTCAGTAGCTACAGAAGAAGAAGCGATGGCAGAACCGAACTTCCTTCCTTTGTTTCCTCTTTACCCATTCAATAGCTACAGAAGAAGAAGAAGCGATGGCGGAACCGAATTCGAAGGTATTTTCACAGTGCAGCTTACTCCATCTCCACCCTTTAGTGCCAAAATAAATAAATATACATTCAAGCATCGACAATCTTCCTAGTTTCTTCGTCGACCTTTATATAAAGTTTCGTGACATCACTGCAAATAGGAGCACTGACAAGTCTCGTCCCGACCGTAGGGTCGTTCTTGTCCAAGGATCYGATGTTACGGGGATTATTGTAGTGACCGGTGACCCTCTCATGGTAGAGATGCAGCAGAGTTTGTGGCTGTCTGATTCCTCTGGTTTGAAAACCCTAGAAATCTCTTACAACCAAGCCTCAACATTTTATTATCCTCCCTAATTAAAATTGTTTTTTTTTTTGTTTATTCTCTAGTTCTCTGGAAGCAGCAGCAGCAGGATAGCTTGAGAGAAGAAAAAACGGTGTGGTGATGTATGTTTGCCCCTTCCCTCTTTAACGACAAAAAAGAGAAAAAAAGGGGGAACTGAAGGGAGATAAAAAGAAGGGAAAAAGAAGAAAAAAGAAAGGGGAAGAAGAACAAGGAGGCAAAGGAGGAAGAGAGAAAGAAAGAAGGGGCACCTTTGGTTCGTTGGGTAAAAGACGATGAACAATGTTTTTTATAACGTTCGAGGTAGTTTGGTCGTAAAAATTGCATCTATGCTGATGTTGACAATTTCTGTTAATGAAAACTAACAATTGCCTACTTTTCAGAAATTTTAAAGTTATGATGAATTCAAGAGAAATATTGAAAAATTATGATAAATTTTAGACTTTTCCCTTTATTTTAATGGAAAATTGTCTAAAACCTACTATCACTTTTTATGAATTCTGTTAAATTCAGGTAACTTTTCAAAACGTCCAAAACTCACCATATCAGTGAGATTTTATTTTCTAAAACTCATCATCCCTTAAAACACGACTCAAGTTGTCCATGTCAACCTAAATGCATGTTTCATGACCAAACTGCCCCTAAATGTTGAATCAGCCTGTTAAACATTTTTTTGACTGAGATGCCCTTAAAGCACCCAATCCTATTTCATATATAAGATTCCACACTGAAGAGTCTTTCTTGCTCTCAACCCAAAGTGTCCTTGCTCTCAATGTATTGCCTCTATCCACTACTCGTGGGCCTAGCAGCCAAGCAGGAGGTGGCACCATATCCCGATGAGCCATTGAGCCCTTCGCTTTCAACATACAAGGGGATGGCGATAA